ATCATCATCATCTTCATCCTCCTCTTCCTCAGACTCTTGTTTTGCTGGCACAGCTGCAGGTTTTTTGGCTGGTACAGCTGCAGGCTTTTTGGCTGCAGGTTTCACAGGCACTGCTACCTCCTCTTCCTCATCTGCAATGAAGTACAGCAAGCATTCACCTAGAGCACTCAACCTTCAAACTCAGTCAAGTACTTTGTTTCCCTGCGTTTTGGCAAACTTCAGAGAAGAACAATCAGAAAACTAGAACATGCTTCACACCCTGCACAAGGCAGGCACAGTCCAAGAAATTCTCCTGCAAACCTCACCAACTCTTCATCTTTCCTTGCTTACTTCCTTTCACTTACCAAACACTCTTGAGTACCAAAACATGCTGAACTGTCAGCTTTTAAGGTACTCAAATCCACTTACTGGGATGAGCTAACTTCAGTCAGCTTACAAGATGGACACATATTCCAAAAGTAGCTTACCAGAGTCATCTTCATCCTCCTCCTCCTCATCATCTTCCTCCTCCTCATCATCATCTTCCTCCTCCTCCTCACTCTCTTCCTTCTTGGCATTCTTTCCATTTTTCGCTCCTTTGCCTAGGACAGCAGCCTTTTTAGGTGATGGAACAACAGCCTTTTTAGCTGGAGTAGCCACAGCCTTCTTGGCTGGTATAACTGCCTTTTTTGCAGGGGTAGCCTTCTTAGCAGGGGTAGCAGCCTTCTTAGCTGGTGTAACTGCTGCTTTCTGTTGTTTCTTCTGAGGGACCATCTGAAAGAGACATGAAGCGAGCGCAGGACTCTTATGCAGCTCCTTTAAAGGAATTTCAGACTTGACAACATGACACTGCAGTGACATTATGCCTTGACAGTTGATATGAACTATGCAACCACACTCATGGGAAGATGGCACTTTAGGAGATGCAGCCAACAAATGGCTACCTCTGCACACCCAATAAATCGAGTATCTGCTCTCTCTGGACTCCTGTACTTTTTCCTGCCCATCTCTGCATCTATACCTTGACATTACTACTTCAACATGGCAGCCTTACAAATACACGACAACTGCAATCTAGCAAGTATCCCTTTAACAGACTTATTTAGTTGCTGTTAAACTACTATTAGCCTGGTAAAGCTCAAAAGCAGCTTTTTCGTGCGTTTGACAACTTCTGGAACAGCCAAGCATCTCTCGAATACCCTGCTACTAAGGCAGCACCTGCGATTTCTCTAGCAGCACCCTACAGCTTCAAATTTTCGCTCTTGTATGTTATTTGTGGATGGTGAAGTGACTTGTTAGAACAACGAGCATATTTCGCTAGTTGTGACGTGAAAGGGGAAACAGGAGTAGAGCTGCTGAGGTCCTTCCAGATCTGATTATTTATCACTCACTTGCTCATCAGTACTAGAAACAGCTGTAAGACCCACACATTCCTTTCAAAATCTGGAAGGACATAGACTGAACAGTTAAACTATTTTTCCCTTATCACTTTCCTCTTATAAAATCCTGTTCGTTCTTCAGCTACAGTCAATAGATATGTATGTAGTATATGACTACCGATTAACAACGGTTCTGTTCCTCATACGTCCCCCAACCTTGCAACACTTGGGACCCATGCACCCATTCGGTTGTGTTCTAGATTCATCATCACCTCTTCTCCGCTGCTCTCCTCCAGTTCAGAAGACTCCTCTTCCTCGCTTTCCTCGACTTTCTTGGGGGGAGGGGCCATTTTTTTCTGTTTGATCTGATTCTTGGGAGTCTGAAAGAGAGGGGGAGGTATTAAGAGGAGCTTTCTTCCTCAGCCGAGGGTTAGAAGCAGATGCATCGTCCAAGCTATTCCCTCCACCTGCCGGCGCCCGCAC